TCTAGGACGTCACTACCAAGGGCACGTGCACCCCCGAGAGACAGAGGACGGGCAGGGTCAGAGACAAGAGCGGCGGCGTAGTCAATGCGGCGGGTATAGGCAAAGTCAGTGATGACAAAGACAAGAGCATCAAGAATAGAGATAGGAACGGACGGGTCGATGAAGAGAGGCGAAAACGCGAGGAACAAGCGGACTTGTAGAACAGAGAAAGTCAGAGAGAGGAGGCGGAGAGACAACACGCGACGACTGAGTAGGCGACGGTAGAAGAGGAGCACAAGACGAGTGAGAGCGGAGCAACATATGGTGAGAGTGTTGGACAGGGGAGACAGGTCGAGCACAAAAGGCATGATGAGACCACCAGCGGGAGGGGGGGGTCGGGTCAGGAGACAAGAGAGGTAACATAGGAGGAGAACGAGGGGGGAAACTAGGTGGGAACGAGTCCGGCGGAGGAAACACATGTTCGGAGATAGGCGGGGGAGGCGGGCAGTCGGGGGAGGGAAAACCCAGGCGGCGAAGGGCGGACACCGGCGGCAACTGCTGTTGCTGCACCACGCCGACACTAGAACCTCCAGCCGCACCTCGGCTACCTTCGGGACACTCCACGACAACACCCCCATAATGAGAACCCTCTCCAGCACTGGTGCCACCCCCAGGACTGCCGGGAAAAGACACGACAGTACCCCCAGACTAACACCCCCAGGACCAGCACCCTCCTCAACGCCCGCACCCCCAGAGCTCACGGACCCCAGCGGCGGTGGCTGCTGCTGCGGCGGCAGCAACGGCGGCTGCTACGGCGGTGGAGGAGGAGACACCGGGCCGGAGACAGGCGGCAAAACCATAGCTGTAGGGCCTCCAGAGTCAGCCGACTCCTCCACCGGGACATCCGACCGAAGGGGAGTGACGTGAGACACACGAGACGGGGTAGGACGAGGACAGAGAGGAGCAGAGGCTACCAGGGGAGTGGGGACCAGGAACAGGGGCGGGGTAACCAGGAGACCTGTGTGGGGAAAGTTGGTGTAGAAGGAGACAAACTCATCAAAAGTGACATCACAAGAGTGAAAGAAGCGGTGAGATGGCGGGTGGTTAAAGTGCCCGTCAAACGCGTCGAGGGGGGAGCCAAGGAAGACACAAGGGGCGGTGTGGGCAGTGATCTTGTCCTTGCCGGAGGCACGAACGTGAGCAAGGCAGCCCCAGACGTGGAACGCAGACGCGTCACTAGGGGACCCGGTCCAGAGGAGGGTCGGCGTAACCCTGCGGCTGTTGGGAGTGTGGCCACAGGTTAAGCTGGTGAGTGGCGTAACGAACAACGAACGGCCACAGAAAATGGGGTGCACCGGCATGAATCAAGGAGGTACGAGCCACCTCCATGACCAAACCGATGCGTCGGTCAGCGACCCCATTCTGCTGCAGGGAGATCAGCAGGGTGTACAACTGGGTGATGCCGTCTGCACGACAGAACTGGCTAAGCCGACCGGAGGCGAACTCACCGCCACGGTCGGAGTGGATATGCAGTACAGGGAGGCCGCAGTGGACTCGTGTAGCTATGATCCACGGGATAAGAACGTCAGACATGCCGGCCTTCCGCTCCAGGGGAAACATCGTGGTCTAGCGCATGTAGTCATTGACAAGCACTAGAAAGTAGCGCTCTCGACGTGGCCCAGGGACGAGGACTGGGCCCCAAACGTCCAGGTGCAGGGTCTAGAGTGGCGCAGTGGTAGGGGGAAGCGAGGAGGAGTGAGGAGCATGGCACAGCCGACCCTCAACGCAGGGCCTGCACGACGACGCGGGCGAGGGAGGGAGGGCAGGGAGTGACGCGGGGAGACCTAAGACAAGACCGTGCTGGGACATGTGACGCAGATGCGGGAGTGCGGGGTGACCTAGGCGGTCGTGCCACAGAAGCGACGGGTGAGTGAGCGACCGACACGAGGAAGCCGCAGCGACCTGAGTAGGCTGCGGCCACCTGAGGAGACGCCCCCACTGAGAGGGACGCGGTGTCAAGTGTAAACAGGCCACATACAGGGTCCCGGGGGAATGTGGTGAGAGGGGCACTAGTGGCGGCCTCGTTACAGAGCGCGTACCGCTCGTGTCCGGGGAACGCAGTGGTGACGCCGAGGTCCTGAAGAAAGCCGACACCAACTAGGTTACTGAAGAACAAGGGGATGTGCAAGCCTATAAGGGAGCCCGAGGGAACCTCTAAGAAGAGGTCAGCAAGCGCGACAGTGGCGGGGGCGACAAGCGGCGTGAGAGCAGTATGGTCACAAAAGAAACAGGTGGACACACCAGAGTCTAGCATGAAAGAGAGCGTGGCGGCAGCGACAACCGGCGGAGGGCTAGAGTGGAGCCTAGGCTAAACAAAGCTGGAGGTCCTACGTCTGACGCAGTAGGGGAGCCTAGACAATACACAAGAGACACACCTATAATATGCAACAGAGGGTAATAAGGTCCAAGCACACTAGATTCATCAGCATACATGGCATACAAGGTAGATTGAAGGTGATCCATATCCATCTCAGAGACCGGCACACGATGACCTACAAAGCTGTGCTAGTTGGGAGGGTTCGACAAAGGGCCGAAGCGGAGACGGAAGTGGTCGTCGAGATGGCTATGTGGCCAGGACAGTCTCAAACGGTGCCGCGGCGTGGGCTGAGCTGAAGCTAGTACTGGGAGGTCACCACACTAGAGCTGCCACCCAACACCGAGCTGCGCAGCCCGCCACCACGACCACCACCACTAGAGCAGCCAGGCCACCAAGGCGGCGGGGTCCCCATGGGTGGTGCTGCTGCGACTGTGACTGCTGCTGCTGCTGCTGGGGCTGCTGCTGCTGCTGCTGCTCCAACTCCGGCTGCTGCACAGGGGCATTAGCCCCAGTCCCCTCGTCAGCACCACCATCCCCTCCACCACCTCCGCCACCCCCGCCTCCCCTCCCGCCGCCACGCCCCCCTTGGGCCTGGCGACCCTTACCCTAACGAGACTGCGCTGAGGCCACCACGGCGGACTCAGCAGCAGGGGTCGTCTCAGCAACAGCAGCAGAGACGTCAAAGTAAGTGCACTAGGAGGGAGCACAACCCTAGAAGATAGGGACCGCCGCAGTACCACTCGATTGAGCAATAGTGCGCTGATGGGTCTCTATCGCGGACAGGGTAGTGACAAAGTCAGTGAGGGTGAGGCCAAGGAAGTGGTCGCGGGCGGTGGCGAGGCAGTCAGGAAGGCGCGTGTGAAGGAAGTAGAGGGTAGCGCTGCGGGGGGGAGGCAGTACAGTGAGTTGGGCCTTAGTGCTAACAGCGCGGTAGCTGGTCTCGAGTGCGCGCAGGTGACAAGTGAGATCAGCTTCAGTGGGGAAGGATGCAAGATCAGGGAAGAGCAAGGGAAGAAGGAGATGGCTGGCAGAGGTGGAGAAGGGAGTGGAATAGCGCACAATGACGGCATCTAAGTACTCCTTCGCAATCTCTAAAGCCTGGTAGCAGGGGCGCTCAGAGAGGGGGAGGGCGCGATTGATAGAAAGCTTTGCAGCTGCATCACG